AGTTTAGAAATATGGAGAGGAAATAAATTTAGATTCAACTGGGAGAAACGCGAGCTGAGGTATAAGGAAAGATAATCTCCACAGAAACAGCCCTTCAATGAGATGGAAAAATCTAAAAGGAAAGTATCAAGTCATTTTTTACTTCCTGGAAAGAGTAGTTGATATGAAAGGTGAATACCAAATGGAAACAGCAAAGGCCAGTTCAAACAAAGGCATCAGAGCCCTGAGCAGTGAAGCAGCAACTCCATTCTATAAAACCCTGGGGAAGCAGCATCCAGAGCACTCTGCTCAGTTCTGGTCGGTTCAGTATCAAGCACACACTGACAAGGTGGAAGGAATTAAAAAAAATAGCAATAAAATGGCTAAGGAGAAGAAAATAAAATCATAAAGAGCTGGATTAAGTGGCAAATAGAGGTGTGACAAGGAATGCACAGGCTGGACGAAGAGGAACAAATTACAAAATGCAGGAGTAAAACCCAACTGGCTTCTTATGCACTCTGGAAATCCTTTAACAAAAATGAAAATGAGCAGGTGGTCTCTGAGCAACTGCATTCCCACTGCTGGTGTCCAAGAGTTTTCCTGTGTGTGCCTCTACCTCTGTCAAAAGAGGAGTTCCATAAGACTCTTCCCCATTGGAACACGAAATTTCAAGGCCAATGGCAGGAGTCAAACAAGGCAGAGCAGAGTTTGATGGATCATAAAAAACGGTTCTCACTTTTCCCTTTGGGTGCCCCACATGCATCTGAAATAAGGGACACACTCAAATGACCAAAAAACCACCCAGGTTCCTATATGGAAAGAGAGATCTCTGGCACCTGGGAGCAAATCACTGAAGCCTGAACAATGAGATTAATGCCTGAAGTTGCTTATTTCTTAAATTATATATTGCAGGCAATCCAATGTCTAAATCACAACACAGCTGAGAAGGTGGCAGGTTTTCTGAGTATCTTCTATAAGTAATTTACAAAAGTTCATTTTCACTTGACTCTACACACCCATAAAACTTGACTGTGTTGTAAGGTGTCCAAACTCTCATTTTTGAAATTTCCCTTAAAAGACACCATTGCAAGACTATATCTAAATAATTCAGGCTAATTGTTTAATTCATTAGTATCTAAATATTTGCACTGTCGTGTTATATTGCAGTAAGGCATTCTATTACCCCAGCTTCTGTTTGAATTAATCAGCAGGGTATTAGTTTAATAAGATGGTTCTATTACTGTAATCCCAAAAAGGAACACATCTTACGTAATGGAAATTATGGAGGTGGATATTTATACACATTAAGACTGTGACATACTGAACAAAACATACAATCTGCATTCCTTTCTCTCTCTGCTACTTCTGCTGAGTTATTTCAAGGTATAAATCCAATATTGTTAGAGGTAACAAAAAAATAAAAGGCTTACTCAAGCCTCAGTCAGACTCTTCAGCTTTGCTGATACTGAGTTAATAGATCAAGTTACCTCTCACAAACACTCAAACCCACTGTAGTTTTACAGAACAAAAGGCACAGAAAACTGGAAAAAAATTAAGTAAATATGTACCTCAGATAATAAACCCAAAACTTTCGTTCACTTCAAGTTTTACATTTCAAACCCACCCAGTCTGACTATCTAAAATCAACATTTAATGCTCACAAAAGAAGTAGGAACATAATAAGTAGGAATGTCAGCATGGAGAAAAAGAAATCTTTTCTTTATTCACAAAAAAAATAAATGGTTAAAGCAAAAATTGAGTAAGGCTCATACAAATATTAGGCATCAAATACTATCAAAGCACTATCATGACTAAAAATACAATTAATGGACAATTAGGAGATATCAACTTCTGGTCATAACATTTTCTGGACTTGTTTGAAGTGGTAATTTTATAAATACCCAGGTCACATTTCATAGGAAAAAAAAAAAAAAAAAAACAACAAACCTGTTCAAAAATTAAGAACTAAAAGTCTGTCTAAGCCAACATGGCTCTGAACATTATTTGGCACCCAGTGCTTAATGGGCTTAAAGCCTTTTAATTCAATGCTACTTATTAATACATAATTTCAGGGTTATTGGAGGAAAAGTGGTCAAGACATTATGAATCTTTGCTTGTCCTTGATTCCAACAAGCTTTTAACATAACTCACTTGAACATGTATTCCAGCAGTAACTCCCTGATTCATTTATCCCTCCTCCCACTGACACTTTAATTAACCTAAAACGTTGGCATTCCTGAGAAACGGTACCTGTTTGTTGAAGTCAGCCACAGTATCATCCTGTAGGAACTCTGCTGGCACTTCCAGTTTCACTAAGAAACGTGCCAGGTAAGCTCTTGTCCTGAGTTCACTGGTCCTCTGGAGAAGCCAATGTAAGACAGGATGAATTACAGTTTTGCTTCCAGTAACCAGCCCTTGGCGAAAAGCACTCCTGTATGGAACCAACCAGGAGAAAATGCCAATAAATCTCAAACAAAAGAATGCTGGCTTGGAACAAAAAATCTGCAATGTTTTGACATTCCTTCTCCACTTGCCCACTTGCCTAATGATTTTTGTAATCCTGTTAGAAGAGAAAATGCTCATGATGAGGCTTGGGCTTGATTAGCCTGGAAAAGAGAAGGCTGAAGGATATGCACATTCCAGAACCTGAAGGAAACACAAAATAGAGATGGAGAGGAACTTTTTACCAAGGCTTTGAATGCCAGGACAATGGGAATGGCCTCACAGTGACAGAGGGCAGGGCTGGATTAGATATTAGGAAGCAATTCTGCCCTGGGCACAGGGTGCCCAGAAAAGCTGTGGCTTCCCTGGAAGTGTCCAAGGCCAGGCTGGATGGAGCTCTGAGCCACCTGGAATAGTGGAAGGTGTCCCTGCTCATGGCAGAGGGTTGGAACAGGTGATCTTTAAGGTCCCTTTCAACCCAACCCATTCTGAGCTGGAAGTCTGCAATTTAGGCTTCCAATTCTTCTACCTTGACTCAGATAAAAACCCCATAACACACTAAAAGGATAAAGCCAGCAGTGACAACTTCTCGTTTCCTGCAAAAGCCTTGAGGGATGCCGGTAGAGCAGGAGGGGAGCGCGGGATTTGGGATTTTGGATTTGGGATCACCTGGCACAGGTGAGACGGGACCGGGACCTGCCCGGGCAGTGCCCTCTGCTGGCCGGAGCCGCCTCTGCACCTGCACCTGGAGCCACACCTGGGACCCCAAAACATCCACAGAGACACGGGAACAGCGCCCACCTGGGACCCCAAAACATCCACAGAGACACGGGAACAGCGCCCACCTGGAGCTACACCGGGAATCCCATCCCAACGTCCATGGGGACATTGGACAAGTGCTCAGCTGAACTAAAGGTCAGTACCACATAACCTAAAAAAGGTATTTTAACATGATTTGTAGGCAAAAAGGTACTCACAGGTCTGACACAGTGCCTGGAGGTTTGTATTTGAGGATTCCAAGGAGATTCAGCATTCTTTTAGCTGTTTGTTCTGGCAGCTCCTCTCTAATGTCGACAGCATGCTAAATGGGTTGTAAAATTAAGTAAGTATAATTATTCCTTTTTACTATTCATACAGTAAAAATTATTGTGACTATTATAAAACAATATATTTAATAATTAATTACTAATTATTAGGACAACACTATATTATTTACTATAATCAATTATATTATTATTTTTATAAACTTGTTTGTCCAAGTGATGTTAATTTTCTGGCAACACTGAAAGAATTGACTTTATTAATTTACCAGACGATAGTGAGATGCTCTGTACAGAACATCCCTTAAATCACCAAACTTCAATTCTCTTCTAATGGATTTTCCTGCAATGTGAGTATTCAGGTCAATTTACTGCAGGAATACCTTCTCCCTGCTCATGGGATCTCATCTGTGCAGTCACACTGACCACATCCACTCGGGAAGTCGGATATCCTGGCACTCCAAGGCACAGGCATCCACACCCCAGGTGTGTCAATGGTCCCTTCTCATCTCACACACACTTTTGGCAGCCTCCAAAGAGTGCGATATAATTTCCATTGCAACAGCACAGTCGTGAGGTTCAGTTCTTGATCAGCTCCTGCCCTGGGTGTGTGCAAGACACAGCCTGACTTTGACTAAACACGACTGTCAGTATGAACCAAGATCTGTAACCTTGATTTCACAGGAAAAACATCGTCATCAGCCTCTGTGGGACAGGGATGCTGCCGCCCTGCCCCATGCAACATTTGCTGGTTTGCCAAGAGCACTCAGACGTATAGGCAGGAAGGATTCTTGCCAGGCACGTTTATTTCCTGGAAGATTCATACAAGATGTTTCTGTGAAACAAACACGCTGCAGAATTATACTGAGCCAAACTTAGATAAAAGCAAATTCCGGTGTCAAGCCACCTCAGATCTGAGCACCGCTGAGTGCCTTCCTTACCTTCGGGTCAATCTCCCCCAGAACATCACTGAGCAGCTGCAGCAGCTGCAGCGACTCCAGGGAGTCAAAGGAGATCAGATTGTAGTTCTTCCTGAAGGGCTCCTGATTGAGCTTCTCAACAATGAACTGGATTTGGTCACCCATAACTGTGTCCCGGGAAAAACTGTGCAGAGAACACACAGCAGATGCCGGGGGGCGATGACCACGTCCGGCCGCCCCTCGGCGCCGGGATCGGATCGGATCGGGGCCGGGCCGGGCCGGGCCCTGGCGGGGCTGCGGGATCGGGTCCGGGTCGGGGAGGCCTCGACCGGAGCCTCGCGCGCGCCGTTACCGCGGGGACGGTTGCCAGGACACGGGCGTGACGTCACTTCCGGAGCTAACAAACCGGGCAGGGGCCTGGCAGTGAAGGGGCGTGGTCTGTATCGGAGTGGGCGTGGTCGAGTGTGGTGGGGCGGGGTCCAGCGATGAGGGGGCGTGGCCTGGCCGTGAGGGGCCGCGGCCGAGCTGTGAGGGGACCGGGACCGGGAACGGCACCGGCACCGGCACCGGTACCGGTACCGGGCTCCTCTGGCGGATCGTGGATCGCCGCCCTCACAGCCGGCTGCGGCAGCGCAGAGCCCGCCGCACTGGGAGCCCTCCCGGTGTCCCCAGAGCATGCCCCGGTCAGTCCTTCCCGCTGCGCCCCGTCCTGTGCCCTTCCCGCCGCGAATACCCCGGGATCAGCGGCTGAGGTCGCTGACGGGGCGGACACGGCACAGGGCGAGTCTCTCGTGGGGCTCCTTCACAGAAAAGTGCGAGGAGTGGCAGAAATAGGTCCGAAATTCAGCCTCTGGAGGATAAACTTGGCTCTGCGGCTCCTTCTGAGGGAGGTTGTTGTCGCATGTGTAGGAGATGTACAAACAGATTGCTGCAGTTACCCAATTAAGATTTCTGGCAGCCTTTGACAGCACAAAGGGATGTCAAGTGTGGCTGATGTACGTGTCAGGTGAATGGTTACTTAATTCCTTTGAAATGGAAAGGTGCACAGAGGATCTGTGTGGAACAGGAACAGCCAGTCCTGGGCCCAGGTTTAGTCCGGGGCAAATGGCAAATTTATGTCCTCGAGGCTGAACATCAGTTGTCAGTGTGCCTCAAAGTAGCAATAAATACGTACTGCATAAATCTCAAACAAGGACAGCAGCTTCAAAACCACCAAACGATCCGAACCAGACTATAAATTAAAGTCAAACTTGCTCATGGAATTTCTCAGCCTGCAAGTTTGTTCTCGCAGATCCTTCAAAAGCCATGTTTAGGCCTGAAATAGTTGGATTTTGGAGCCTCTGTGCTATTTCAATTAGGTTCTTGGATAGTCTTAGAATCCCATGTGAGTCCCCAGATGATGGATTAAAATATGCAGTGAGTCATGTTAAATTGGTGCCAATTGAAATGCACAGGTTGTAAATCACTGCAGAATTTGACTCAGTAAGTAGCAACCATAAATGCAATACTTTGCAATTCTAAGCACTGCGACTATCTTAGATTAGCTCCTCTTTTCCTTTTGAGAAACAGAAAACGCTTCATACAATAATTTCATAAAATTCATTGGTCTTCACAGGAAGGATGAGAAGTGATACTGATTGGTGTCTGAGCTCTTAACTGGTTAAATGAAGTGACAAAAGGGATGGACGGGTGCCTTGTGGTTGGGTATGAGAGCTGTGGTAGAGCCAGGAACATAATCCAGGTCTCCTGACTCCTGGATTTGAACTTTAAAACCAGATCATGTTTCCTTTGTGCATTCAGTCCATATACTGACCTTTAGGAATCGTATTTACCTACAAGTTCCCAGAAGAGATCTGCTTTCCCTTGTCATGCTTTCCTGGTATCAGTTACTGTTTTCTCTGATGAGTATTTTGAGCACATAGAACACAGAGGGAGCAGATGAGAATGGTATTTCTGATGGAGGTGCCTGTGAGTTCCCCATCCCTTAATCCTGGAGAAACTGTTTCTGTAAATACTGAAACACATCCTTTCTTCCTCAGTGCTGAGGTGAGGATGGAGAGGGATTAGGGCTGGAAGGCTGCTGCTCTGAGATTTTGCTTTATATTTGAGACTATTGCAGTCCTCACACCTTCCCAAAAGGAAAAGACAATTCCCCTCTTCTCGTATTTCTGTAACATTGAAGGAGAAGGATGAAAACTTTAGATAATGCCAAGATAACAAAAAAAGATGGTGAGATGGAAACTCATGAAGTCTGATTATTCTGACTCTGGGAAAGGAGACTTCCATGACCAGAAATCGTTAGAACTGGACTGGCTGAACTTGTTGACATGTTTGAAAGCTCAAAATCACACATTAGAGCCCTGTTGCATGGGACTTCCCAACGTGAGGAAATGAGAAAGATCCTGTGTCATCCTTAAAGTTTTATGTTATCATGAGCCTTTCTTCCACCAGTTTTGTGTTCTCCATACATGCAGCCCCCTGGCTGCCCCCTCCTGCTTGCTATTTAAGGTCTGCAGTGGTGTCTGAATATTCAAAATTACTGCCTAAAAGAAAAAAATCAAGGCTTAGCTGAGTGCCTTGACTTCTTTATCACAAGAGAATCTTCGCAGATATGAAAGAGATTATAAACTCTCAGTGCAGCCTTGGGTAAATATTACAGGAAGCAGCTGAGATTTGTTTATGCTTAACTTGTCTTAAGTTATCTTAGTTTGCGTGATGTACTGAGTCAAGTCTTACAGACTCGAGGGCCAGTGTTCCAGTATATTTGTTGTATAATTCTGGGGCATTTTCCACAGTCCCAAATTAGTTTGCACGGAGAGTGATACAGATTTTGAAGGAAAATTTGATGTAAGAGTTGTTATAAGAGTTCAGCCCTACAGTTCCATCCAGTTCTCTGCATAGAATTTGTCTTTTATTTAGCTTGGGAAAGGCTTGTGGAAGTTGCAAAGACATCCTGCAGAGGTAACTTGTGGAGGAAAGAGAACAGAAATAAATAACCCAGAGCTCTCTGGGTCTGCAGGCACAGCTTCACTGCTCCCTCCTGACTTTCTCCTCCCTTTACAGCCACTGCTGTGCAGATGCTGCCGAGCAAAGTTGTGACAGAGCTCGACCACAGAGAGCAGCAAATCCGAGTGGGACGAAACCTGAGCAAATGAGAATCCTGCTCCCGGTGGAAGAGATCCCCTTATATGGGAACATCACGGACAAGAGCATGAACGCCCAGCCGGGCTGCTGAGGTCAGATCCCAAACAGATGGAAGATGTTAGTGTGAAAACAAGAGCATTTAGGAAGAGGAGACAATACTTGTGCTTTGCTCAAGCAATCTGATCCCTCCTGTTTGTTTGTTTCTGTTATTATAAATGTTGTGTTAGACCACCTTGGGAGGTGGATGTGGCTGTGGATTTTCCGAGGTGGGAGTGTGGCAAGGAGGGTTGGCTGGGCTGAGTTAACTCAGCTTCCTCTAGAAAACACTCACAATTTTGTTTCTTGACATGCTGTTTGGTTTTGTTTCTTGTCTGAAAAATCCAAAATAACTCCACTGCTTAGTCTCGGGTTTACACCAGTGTTTCTGAGGTTAGAGCCTGCTCTGTAGAGCCTCCTGTTCAAGGCCAGATGAAATGGCAAGTCACCCCTTGCAGCAGATTCCAAGAACAATAAGATGTTTTAGGAATATGCCATAACTGATTGCCTCTAAAGGGCAAATTTTGCTCTGTGCTGCCAAGCAAGGGCTGTTCTCAGTGATAAGTTTGCTGAACAAAGTCTGCCCATGTTCGTGGAGTTGGTTTCATTCTCCTGGGAGGGCAGCAGGCCAGGACATTGCGCACACTGATCCCAATCACACCAAGGATCAAGTCTGCAGGAAATCCAAGTGGCCTTACTAAGGTTCTATGCCCACCTTCTGCTACTCAGAGCTGGGTTCCCACTGCCACTTTCCAACAACATTGTTATCTCAGAGCGCTGTTCTCCAGGAGGAAAAGGCTGAAATGCTGTCAAAATAGAGGATATAAATAAAGGAACATTGATCAGTTGCTTTGTGTTTCTGCTCTTCAGATTCTATTTTATCTCCATCCAGAAAAGTCTGTTGTTAACCTGAATTGGTGCAAGTGCTTGTGGCTTGTTTTTCAAAGCAAGCCTTTTATATCACTTTTATGTAATGTAGAAAGTATCTTCTGAACATACAATAGTTTTTCAGACTTGACAGTGCTTTTATGAGTTAGATGAGCTGGGTGACATTTCTGTCAGCTTTAGAACAGAGGTGTCCTTCCTCCTTAACACATTCAATTCATGAGAAAGTAAAAATGTTAGGCCAAGGTTTTTGAAGCAATCAGCATGGGGCACAAAAATAGTTCTGAAAAATTAAAGCCTATGTTTTTAAACTCTTTTAAAGAAAAACAACATGGACAGGACAGTACCATTTGTGACAGAGAAAGTCAGAGTCTAGGTCCACAGCAGCACAGCACAGGGGAAAGTTTTTGGATTATGTCAAAGCCTGTTGCAGATAATTGCTGTTTCCCAAATGGCATCTGAAGGGTCAGGATGTTACCTCACGTTTTCTGTGTCATTTAGGATGGGAAAATAGACATTATCTTCTTGTGTACATCAATTCAAACCCAAAAGTTGTGAAAGTGAAACAAAGGCAGAGTTTGATACAGATCAAAAATTCTCTCACCTACTTGAAAATGTCCATCTGACTTTTATCTTGGAGTGTGTTTTGTTCAAGAATGATACAAAGAAGCTGACACATTTTATTCTTATGGGCTTATATGTCTTTTCTGTTTTGTCCAGACAGTTGTCTAGCCACTTCTCACAGACTCTGACAGGAGAGGATGATGTTAACAGCTCGGTAAGTACCAGTGTGAATGAAGTGGCTCACAGAAGCAACAGGATCTGGGATACAGCAGAAAACACTGTACCAATGCAGGCAAGTCTTCAGCTTTTGTCAGTTCAATATTCAGAATTCAGGTTTTCTGCCTGCTTTTACATCCTCCTTTAATTTGCTCATGCTGTTGAATTAAACTTCTAGCTGAAACACTTGATTTCTCAATCTATCACTAGACCCAGATATGAAACTTCATATAAAATTTTGAAGGAAATTACTTCACCCTCAGCCCAAACAATGACAAGCACTGTTGACCCAAGCAAAGGGCTAAATAAGGATTGATGAGGTGTGGCAGGACCATGCTTTGGGTAGTTCTTTCTGCAGCTTCCTCCTATAGAAAGCTGCAACAATCTGAAATGTCAAGTTCCCTATTTTACATTTGAGGAGGACAGGTTGAAACTGTCTCTAAGTGGCAAAAAACACTCGAGTAAGAGCTTGTTTCTTTAAAAGAATTCAAACAGGACCATGTGTGAATTATAATGCAACTGTTAAAAACTGTGGAATCCACGAAAAACCTCCCTAAGTAAGTGAAAGACATATCTACATTTTTTTTGTGTGTTGAAAGAAAGAAACACTGACAATGTCAGGAAATTTTAAGGTACTCCCTCCTCCTAGGCACTTAAAGATCTCATGTATGTAAAGCAGCTCTTTCCTTCACAGCCATACTGTTAACTCATTAAAAGACCCAAATAATTGACTTCTACCCAGCTGCCCTGCTGTATGATCCTGCAGTGAAGTCATAGCCTCCAGTTTGGACCATCATGCAGCTGCCATAGAAACAGCTTTAGGTGTCACAGGCTCATCTTGAATTCACTGGAGACATTTGGCTCATTAATGCAAATGTCAAGGAAAATGCATCAACGTAAGAGAGCTTTAATCAGGGACTGAAATTTTTTAGAAGTATCCTAATGTGGGGTTTTCTTCTGCAAAGAAAGAAGATGTGGAAGTTCTCTGTGGGTTCATTTAACACAATGAGGTTCTTTCAACTTCCCCATGGGGTAGATTGGTTGTCTGTGCTTTGTGCTGCTGGCTGGTGTTTGGGGATCCTCCTCAGACCAAAGAACAATCTCTTCCATCCTCCCTACACAGATCATGAAAACTTCAATGCTGGCAATGTCAAACAGTGAGAAAAGAAAACTCTTGGAAAAAGATTCCACAGAACAATGCTGCTGTGACCTGGAGTAGGATGGAAGGGCCTCGTAGCCATCTTTTGTTGTAACCCCATGACTGTACAATATCCAAGATAAAAAATGTTCTATTTCTAGTCTGTAGCAGCCAAAGGATTTTAAAAATATTTTATTTCAACTGAAATTACAGAATTGATAGCAAAGAAAGCAAATTGTAATGAATTTTAGTTCCTCTCAGCCAGCTTTGAAATATATACATAAGAGACTAGGTCCATTAGCACTTTCATTAGCTCATTTACAAGCCCATATGTATAAAATATAAGATACATATAATTTTCTACATTTATATCTCATCTCCCTAATTTGGGGTTTTCTGCACAAACAGAGCACTTTTTCCACTGCCAGGTCTTCTCCCGTGCCCACAATGCCTCCTACAGCTCCTTCTGCTGAGGTTTTTCAGCACTTGGGAGCAAATTCCATTCCCTTCTCATGTGGAGAGAGTTATGATCTGAGAAAGGCTTTGTCCAACAACAGGAAGGCTGTAATTGTTCATACAGTATCCGGGAAAGATATGCATGAGCTTCCTGAGTTAATGAAATCCTAAAGGGTTTGTTATAAAGTTTCAGTCACTGCCAGTCATTTTGAAATGTCACCCTGTGTAGGCTCCTGCTGGGATGTTACAGAGGGAGTTTTGCTTTCAATTACATTGCACAGCTGACACATTCTGCCTTGTTCTCTAACCTTCCTCTAACATGCCAGGAGTGGGTCACTACAGGCACCAAAATAATGGATGAGAGGTTTGGTCCAAACCTCTGATGTATAAAGTTCCTTCACAAGTTCCATTGGCAAGAAGCAAAAATGGAGGAATCACTACAAAGCAAAGCTGAATGTTTATTTTCTGCCAGAACAATACCAAGGTCAGAGCCCAGGAAGCTCTGCCATGTGGTTGAGATACTGAGGTAGCAATGTGGGGCTTCGGTTACACCCATGATTGTCTTCATTGACCAAATTCCTTTGAAAGGTAAATCTCATGAACTACACAGGAGACCTCCTTTTCCTTCCTGTTAGCTATGGCAGGAGCTGAACAATTGCATGTTGGCAAGGAGGTTCTTTTATTTTGGATTGTTCATTTCTGCCTGAGGCAGGGCACTGCTGTTGGATCAGCTGGCTGAAGGACTGGTGTTTGGAACACCTTTTTCAGAAGGTCTTTGGATCAGGTTCCAGATGCTCCCCAATGGATGATGATCAACAGTTTCCCATTATAGGTTCATTAATTTTTAGTTCTTTAAAAATTAACACACATAATTAATGTCTTGAGTGTTATACAGTGAAACTAATCAGTGACTTTCCTGCCCAGGTAGCATCCACAAATGTTGATTTGGTTTGCAGTTAAGTCTGATTTGTTAACTTGGTTTAACTGCACATCATCCAGCTAATGTGCTGCTTGTCAACACAGATCTCTGGTGCAGAGGCATTGCTCAAAATACAATGATAGGAAAAATATTTCCTGTTCAGGAGCACTGTCTTTTACAAGGATGACTGCTTGGAAGATTTGGTTTCCCCCTTGGAATGACTCTTTTGATGGAAATTCAGATACTCCTGATCCTTACCCTTTTAGTAACTGCACAGCTCTGGTATAAATGACCACGTGTCTGTGGGGACCAGCAGTGAAACTGCCAATTCATGGGGCAGAAATCAGCAGCTGTCAAATGGTGTAAATTCTCACTACTATTCTGTAGCAAGATTTATATCAGAAGCCTCCTGAGTTCATATTTCAGCTGTAATTAGAGACTCAGGTTAGGCTTGGCCCACACAAACAAGTGCAATAAAGAGAGAACAATTGATACCCAAAACTAAGAAAACTACCCATATCTTTCCTGCTCTCCTGAGCCACCTAACTCCCTGTTATTCTTAGCAACATATTCCTCCCACTGACAGCTTCCCAGGTAATAGTACAGTGGCATAACATTAACTGATGTATTTAAGTAAAAGAAGTTAGTTAATTTGATGTTTCTTTTTTGGCCTACGGTTCTGAGGAGTTCTGAAGATTTCACTGTGCCAATAAGCACAACATTCACTTCCCAAAATTTAATTACACCATGTAAGTGCAAGCATTCCTTAATGCTTTCTGAAGAGTAACTAGTAGTGTTCTGAAAAAATTGTGTAAATTGGCATTCTTTACTGAAAAAGGCTATGCATTCAGGACTGTTATCTGCCTGAGTGACAAATAGAAAGCTTTTATAATTTTTTAGTCTTATTAGTCCTCCAGGAACCAAGGGAAATAAGGAAAGCTTGGGAACACAGCCTCTCAGCATAACTATTTCATCTCATTCAATAGAATTGCTTATTCAGATATACTGGTTTATATTAGGGTAAAATCACTATAGCACAACAGATGTATGATTCAAATAAGGTGAAAGTGTTTAGTTTACACAGGTGAAATTTTTCTGGTAGTATTATCCAAAGAGTAAAGAATTCATCTTAATTCCCATATCCCAGTTAGGGGCACATATATCTGGAAGCTACAAACAAAAAAATGCATATTTTTACAAACTGAGCAGATGTAAAACAAGTTGTGGATAGAGATAAGACAGCTCTGAACAGGTCAGCTCTGAGCACAAAACTGCCACAGAGAAGGCTTCTTTCTATACCACCAAGAGCAGATGGGAAATAACCTCTACCCTGAGGGCTAGAAAAAACCTCTGATCCTCGAAAAAGTTAAGAAAACTCTCAAATAAAACCTGACTGACCTGCAGGCTACAAGCTGGCCTATAAAACATATCTCTGGAACCATTCAACAGAGAAAAAAGGGCATTTCATGTGTGTGCAAGCAAGAAGATAGAAGAACATACCACAATGTGGTGTATGGAGTGACTCACTGCCTTCAGAGAATACAAATCATATATTGGTGAATGGGAAGCAAGATCTCAGGAACTCTGATTAAACCACTCAGAGTCTCCCAAACTTAGCTTGCAGTAGGATGTGCAGGAGAGAGTAGAATCATCTAAAAGCTTGCTGTGCACTGGTTTGTTGGCATCAAGATGGCAAAGCAGAGCAACAGGGACTGAACTCAAAAAGAAAGGGGGAAAATGAATTTTTCTTTCAATGTCTCTATCTTCGGAATACCTGGAGATGGTAGCAAGCAGAAGGCTGAACTGCTGGCTTTTACACCAGATATATCCTCTTTAAGAGTTTCCTCTTTTGGTACTTGAAGAGGCAACCGATTGTAGAACAAATTTTGAATAGCAATGAAAGAGGGATCTTTGAGTATCTGCCACTCCTGCAAGTGACCTTTCAGCTAAGCAAATGCCTATTAAAATTATTTCTTTAAATGAAGGCAAGCAGAGTTTAGAGATAAGTCAAGCAAACCAGTCAAGAACAATGCAGCACTTTGAGTCCTGACAGCACGTCTGAGACAGAAGGCATATGGGTGTTGTCATCAGAGTTTGGATATTAGTGTCATTGTGTGGTGTAGTAGGTCTTTCAGGTCAATATAATGATTTTTGTCTGCACTGTCAGCTTTTTATTGTCACATTTAAATCATCTCTTTGTTCCATGCTCTGTGACTGCTTATTGATCCATAAGCTGATGTGAGCTGTGCACCAGGAAAGTCAGGGTTTTGGTAGAATAAGAAACTGGAAGTTGGTTAAGGCTCCCATGATTCTTGCCACACTCAATCAGAGAATGGAAAATGCTGATATCCAGAATGCTGAAGTATGCTCAGGAGTTGCTCTAGAATAACATGATTTTAAAGCTGTCAGAGCATGGGCACTCTGTGACCAGAGGATGTATTTTCTTGAGTCAACTAAAAATTGCTGCTTTCCTGTGGTGGGTACGTGCCCGCGGGAGTGCGTCGGTGTTGAAACAACTCGTGAGGTGTCGATTCGGTTTCGCTGGGGTGGGTGATGGCAACACAGAAAAACAATCCTCCTCCAGATCTGCTGATCCATCATCATTATCCCCATTGTGCTGTGTCAAGTGCAGAACCCAATGGTGAGGATCCCTTTTGAAAATTCTCTCTGTGGTTGGATGAAGCAGCAAATGCTGTTTTCTTTGATTTATGTTGGGAATTGTTGCGGAGCCACCCTGTGAAATTTTGTGCTGCTGGCAAGCTGCTGCACCAGCCAGTCCAATGAGAACATTGAAAATGAAGAATCTGAGCTGATGTGTACTGGTGAGTCCCATGAGAACCATCATAATGAAGAATATGAGCTGGGGCTAACCCTTAGACAAGGAGCCTCTTCCCCAGACTGCCAAAAGTGGTGCTGCTGTGGCAAATGCCAACCAACTTGGAAGCACCACGAGCAGCTCTTGCTGAAAGAAAAAGGGCAGTGCATCACAACCAGAATTGGTTTCAGCACCTGGTGCTGTCTGATTGCACCCTGAAGAAAGCCACCTCAAAGCATGACTCTGAAGGAAGGAAGCCCAAAAGATGTATCACCTAAAAAATGTGATGCTGAGTATTTTTCTGCCCCAGCCTTGTCAATTTTCTGCAGCCCTGGATTGCAAGGCTCTAGAAAGGGGCCACTGAATGTGTTTCATAACTCACCATTGAAGGCTTCATGGTCTGACCAGATCAAACACGCTCATTACAGACGATTCCAGTGACACAAAGCATTTACTGAAAAGCCCGGTGGGTTCTCTTTGTATTGTTCTTTTTAGCTTGAACCAAGGAATTACAATGAAAAGTACTTTTGCCGTTTTTGTGTAATATTTTTGGGCATTTCATTCATACTCACCGGAATTGTAATGTGGGACTTTGGCCTCCTGTTTGCTCTCAGCTTCAATCAGGCCTTGCCTCCTCCACCTCCTCCCCCCTGAACTTGTGTGAGTAGCTATGTTCTATAATGTGTAAGGCCAGAGTACATCTAAGGAGCAGCAAATTCAGGGTGAATTAATCTGTGCTCCAACACCTTTTCTGTTATCTATTTTTGTTCTATTTAGACATCTTCTATTTTTGTAGAAACAAGGTGAGAAGGATTGTAACAGGTGTGTTCTGCACTCCTTTCAACGAAGCTTTGTTCTTTTTGAGCTAACCCAGCAGTTTGCCATTTCCATTTCCCACATGCATTTTAAGATACATTGCTGGCAGATTATGGCATTTGTATTTATATCTTCAATTGAAAAATGCATTAATTGTGTTAATATTCATATTACAGCATCTTATATATCTAGAGTGGGAAAATACTACCATAGGCATTTATGCATTTCTGTTCTACCGTATGAACCAATTCTCCTTTTGAAAGTTACATTGAATATTCAGTCATATTCCTATCCTTTCCTCACCTCTTTTGGTCCTTTCTCTTTCATCTGGTTTTGTAAAAATTTAAGCATTTTACTAATATAAAGCTGAACTAAAGGGTCTTAATAGTTTTGTACAGCCTGAAATTCTCACTGCCACTTTGTCATTTCACTTCATCTCTTCCGGATGATTTACCTGCTCTAATGAGGGTTATAGATGTTTCTACAATAAGGACCGTGTTGGGTATCTCAGGATGAGGTGGAGGGTACATGAACTAGGTGGTAGATCCCTGCTTTTATAGCAAAGATTAATTCTGCAAGAGGATAAATAAAGAATTTGGTCATTGTGGATGGGAAGGTGACAGTCTTCAGTATGATCTGCTCTCTTTGGCAGGCAGTTGCTTGGTCCTTGCACTAACTTAAGCTGTGCCAGGGTAGGTTTAGGTTGGACATTAGGAAGAATTAGGAAGAATTTCTTCCCAGAAAAGGTGATTAGATATTGAAACGGGCTGCCCAGAGAGGCGGAAACACCGAGCCTGGAAGTGTTTAAGTAAAGACTGGCGTGGCACTCAGTGCTGTGGTCTATTTGACAATATTGTGTTCGGTGACAGGTGGGCCTCTGTGATCTCAGAGGTGTTTTCCAACCTGATGCCTTCTGTGATTCTGTGAAAACAGCCGTGGAAAAATCTATGTCTGACGGTGCCGCTGCCTCCGCTGGCCTCGGGCAATTTGCTCCGAGCCCCGGGGCTGCGGGAGCGCGCGGCGAGCGGCTCGGGGCGCTGTGGGGCTGCGGCAGCCGCGGCCCGGCCCGGGACGGCTCCGGCCCGGCCGCCCTCCCTCCCCTCCCGGCCGCCGCCATGGCGCTGTGCGGGGCTATCCACAGCTTCCTCTTCGAGTACGACACCCCGCGCATCGTGCTGATCCGGAGCCGCAAAGTGGGGCTCATCAACCGCGCGGTGCAGCTCGGCATCCTCGCCTATGTGATCGGGTGAGCGGGCGGCGGGGGCGCGGCGGTCCCTGAGGGGGAGCTGAGGAGGGCCGGAGCCCGCGGGGCTGAGGGCACGAGCTGCCCCTCCCTCAGGGGCCCTCGGGGGCCGCGGCACCGAATCCGTGAGGGGGCTGAGGGGAGCCCGGAGCTCCCCGAACGGCGACACGGACGTGGTGGCACTGCTTAACTGGTATTGTGGACGGAATCACCGAATATTCTGAGTCGGAAAGGATCCCACAAGGATCAGGTCCAACTTTTAAGCGAATGGCCCCTCAGGAGTGCGACCGTGTCAGGAGGTGATTGGCGTTCCCCCAGCTGGGCATAAAAGCAAGTTAGACCCTGCAAACCAGTCTGAAAATAAAAAATATCACCCCAACAATCAGAGAGGAAATTGCCAATCTGGCGACCGTTTTGTAAGGAAACGCTGTGAAACTGACTGGAATGGCCCTTTCAAGTGACATGGAAAAAGGAGAAATTCCAGCCTGAACTTGTTTATGGTGTTTATCTATTGTTTCTTGCAATCCTTCTCTTTCAGGTGGGTTTTTCTGTGGGAAAAGGGCTACCAGGAAACAGACAGCGTGGTCAGTTCTGTAACCACGAAGGTGAAAGGAGTAGCACTGACAAACACATCCCTCCTGGGAGCCAGGATCTGGGATGTAGCTGACTATGTCATCCCTCCTCAGGTATCAGTCACTTTCACATGCAGAGTGAAGGTTTTCTAACAAACAGCTACTGCTTTGCTAAGGTCCACTGAGGGCTGGAGCAGCTTTGGCTCCAGCGTGGCAATGATATGAGAGAATGAAGCAGCTTTGCTTTGTTGCAGATCATGTTGAGCATCTGCCCTGAGGAAGCTTGTTCCAAGAAAAGCGTGTCTGTGTTTCTGTAGAATCGTAGAATGTTTTGTGTTTGGAAGCAACCAGAATAATTTTGTTCCACTCTTCTGCTGTGGGCAGGACCACTGTCCCAGGTTACTCCAAGCCCTGCCCAAGCTGGCCTTGAACACTTGCAGGGATGGGGCAGCCACAGCTTCTCTGGGCAGCCTGTGTCAGGGCCTCTCCACCCTCAGAGTGAAGAATTCCTAATATCTAATCTAAGTCTCTCATCTTTTAGTTTAAAACTGTTCCCCCTTACCCTATCACTATCTGCCTGTGTAAAAAGTTCCTTTCCCTCCTTTTTATAAGCTCCCTTTGGGTACTCAAATGGGCTTTAAGTTCTCCTTGGAGCTTTTCCTTCTCTGGGGGTGCACTGATCCCACTGTCCATGGTGCCCACAAAGGCTTGCAACAGCACCTGTCCTGGCAGAGGAGGAAGAGCTTTGCAGGTGTCAGGAAGAAACTGCATCAATAACCACGTCATCTTTCTTACTGCTTTCTAAAGCAAACAACCCCAAGTTAAGTTGTTGGCAGAAGCCACAGGAACAGCCTGCAAGTCACCTGCTCCAGAATTGAACAGGAAGCATTGCTGTTGTTACTGATTGACTGTATCTGTGGGAGTCTGTGCTTTGTGGGCCATATGTGATGGCCTTCGGGCTGGGCAGGCACAGCCAAGCTGCTGGTCATAGGTCCCTCTGTCTGCGTGACATGTGGTGCAGAAAAAAAGCCAGATTAGGCAGATTTTGGCTGAGTGGTCATATTTGCGTATCAGTGGAGCGGAAGCAGATGACAGATCTGGAGTTGTACAGATCTGAAAGTAGTGAAAGTAAAGTAATGAAAATAGTGCTCCCTGAAGAAACAGGACCGGGCAAATTCCTAACTGATATGTTGCAAAAAGAAAGAGTGGGAGTTGTGCTCTGACTTGCAGCTGGAGCTCTATTTCTGTGCCTGCCTTACAACTCCCCTGAGGAGCTGTGTGAGCTCTGTTTTCATAATGAGAATGAGGAACTTTGGGCCGAGTGGGAGGACAGAAAGAGTTGTCAGGCCCACAGTCCTTCCTCTGGCTAAACACAACAATGCACTTAGGAGTCTGCACCAGCAGTGTCCAGAGCACTCTGCTGGGCCACCTGGGCTCTGTCACACAAAGGTGTTTGGTGCAGTGCCTTGGATGCTCTTTGCACACTGTCACTCTTAAGTTTCCTGCTTGTTTTGCATGCTCAGGGTGAGAACACTGTGTTTGTCATGACCAATGCGATACTCACACTGAACCAGAGCCAAGGCCGCTGCCCAGAGGTAGGTGCAGCCTCTGCCTTAATCCTGCCTTGAGTGGGTGGGAGTGTGAGGGAGAGGGTGCTCAGAGTTTTATGTAACTATTGTTCCTCTCCAGCTCCCAGATGATCAAACAAAGTGTGAGGTGAATGACAACTGTGCTCCAGGATATGTCAGCACCCACAGCAGTGGTAAGAAACGTGCTGCAAAGGCTCCTTTCAGTCTGGGTTGTGGTGCCTCTGCGCTGTGCCTTCCCTGCTGTGAAGGAAGCAGCATTTCACTTCAGTCTCCTTGTTCTCTTTCTCTCACATGTAAGAGAACTGAAGGGGAAGCTCAGATTTTTCTTCTGGTGGACTTAAACCAGATGAACTTAGACTGTGTTGAGTGGATTATGGGTAGATGTGGACTTTGGTGAGTTAGCAAACAGTGTGAAGCTTTTTCATGGGCTTCAGTCCCTGAAGCAGTATTTCATATAGATGAGGGTTTGACTCAGGAAGAGCACCTGATGCTTCTTTCTCTGAAATTACACTTACAATGGAAGATAATGTGGGTTTTGGTAGTGGCACTTCACCTCTGGGAAAATTGCTTTCCTCATATGGAGTGAGGGGATGTCACAGGTCAAATACTGCCTGGTTTTGCTCAGTAGTACCTCCATGCACTTCTTTCCAGGCATCCAGACTGGGGAGTGTGTTAAATACAACAGCAGCATTAAGACCTGTGAAGTCTTTGCGTGGTGTCCCGTTGAGGATGACTACCACATACCCAAGTGAGTGCTCTGTGTTCCTACTCCACAGTGCCCCTCCTGAGAACAGGCTCATGGTACAGAGCTGGTGCTTCTCCCACTGAGATGCTGTTGGGAATAGCTGAAGAGATGAGTACCAAGGGCTCTGCAGAGGCTGTTTGTGTTTCCCTATTGTTTTGCAGGCCAGCATTCCTGCGAGAAGCTGAGAACTTCACCCTTCTGGTGAAGAACAACATTTGGTACCGCAAGTTCAACTTCAGCAAGTAAATAGTGAGAGGGTCATCACACTGTCTGGTCTCATGGGCAGTAAAAGGGATGCAACAACTCTCTTCTTTCTGTTCTCCTGTAGGCGAAACATCCTCCCCACTATCAACTCCACCTACCTTAAGAACTGCATCTACGATGCCCAGACAGATCCTTTCTGCCCTATCTTTCGTTTAGGGAAAATAGTTGAAGCTGCAGGGCAGGACTTCCAAGAAATGGCTGTGGAGGTATTTGGCAGACCCTTCTTTTGGGCTTCAGCTGTTTTTAGAAGAAGAGTGGTAGGGGGTTGTCCCCTCTGCCTCGTGGCATAAGCCACAGAACACAGATCAGCTGCAGGATGGCCAGAGGGACTGGAGAAAATTCTAGTTAACAAATAATTGGCCTTGCTCTATTTGGGTGGGATTATGTGCAAGATTCTGCAGCAGCAGAAAAGAGTATTGGACTGAGCCTGGGATTAGAGCCCGTAAATCAGGTAGAGAGCCTAGTCCTGGGCTGGCTGTGCACTTGGACTGCCCATCACCTTCTCTCCTCCGTTTGCCAGGGTGGAGTCATGGCACTGCAGATCAACTGGGACTGCAACCTGGACAGAGCAGCTTCCCACTGTGTGCCAAAATATTCCTTCCGGCGCCTCGACACCAAGGACTCTGCCCACACCGTCTCACCTGGCTACAACTTCAGGTAATGTGGCTGTGGAGGGCACCTGGTGTCCCTGCAGCTCCATCTGCTACTGGCAGTTGTGATAGTTTGGGGCTTTCAGTGGTGCTTGTAGAGCAACAGAAGAAAACATGGAGAGCTTTTTTGGTGCTGTAAGACAGAGTAGGTGGGATCCTCATTGTGTGCAAACCACAGCAGAGGGGGCAGGTCAGTGAAGCTCCACTGATTGTGTCAGTGCCTGAGTCATGTTTCCATCAGCTTTTTGGTGGCTGTTTGATCAATGGGGTGGCAATGGGACGGCAGTGGGACAACTGACTGTCTCAGGGTTTGCTGATAGGGCAGAATTTGAGGAGACTGAGGTGGGATTGGGAGACTGAAGCGTGTCCTTCACTCTGCTTGGAGGGAAAACTAACCTGTAAAAGTGGCTCTGTTAGTTGAAGATGGTATCTGCACCAGGAGTATCCTGGCATACACCACCACATAGACATACACATTCTGGCCAGTACAGCTAAATCCAGGACTTCCAGTAAAACACCTGCACAGAGCTGGCAGCTGATTGCATCCAGACTCAGACTGTAATAATATGGATTGGCCCCTTTGCCAAAGGTCCTTGCAGGACTCCTGCTTGTGAGGAGACATGGCTCAGGGCTATTATTTTTATAACCACAAAATCTCGCTTAGCACAGAGAATCTTTGGGTGGAACTTGGATGAATTTGCTGAGGAGCTGTGCAGAGCACAAATGTGTGTTTGGAAGGGGCCAGGCTGGCAGGTATCGGGGTGTCAGGGCTGCCTGGAGGATATCACAGCTGGACCTGAAATGCTCTTGCTAACTTCAGACTCTGGTACAGCCCCTTACCAATCCTTCCTCTTCTCTTCCATCTTCTTCGCTGCTTCCTCCTGGCTTAGTCAACCACGTGGCGGAGTAAGTCTGATCTCACTTATTTGTTCTCTTCCCATTTCCGTGTCGTTTGCCTGCTGTCACCCAGTGCGGGACGCGGAGCAACTTCTGTGTGCTGGGCCGAGCCTCGCGGGTGCTCCCAGCCCTGCCCTCTCGCGGCTGCCTGGTCCTCTGCAGCCGCCTGCCTGCCTCTCTCGTGTAGCCGAATTCCTTCCTGTTAGTCCTTCTGCTCCCCTGCTAAAGCTGCTTTCTCCCCTTCCTATGCCTTGCAAGTTTCCTCATTTTATGATGCTCACTGTTGTCTTGAATTCACCTGCTTTGGGCTTTTCTCTTACATGAGTTTGCCAGCATGAAATCTCTGTCACTTGGGGCTTGTGGCTGGAAGTACCAATGTTCAGCCCATCCACTTGGGATGGGGAACACACCTGAATATTACATGATAACATAAACCTCAAAATTTCCAGCTAAGTTCTGGCCTATTTTTTCTGCAGGTTTGCAAAATACTACAAGAATAGTGATGGCACTGATTCACGGACGCTTGTCAAAGCTTATGGCATCCGCTTTGATATCATAGTGTTTGGAAAGGTAGGGTGACAGTTCCCAGAGGTCTTGTAGCAAGGGCTTTCAGAGATGCTGAAATGCATGCTCAGGCTTGTGACTGTCTTCTAGGCAGGAAAATTTGATGTAATTCCTACCATGATTAACATCGGCTCTGGCTTAGCGTTGTTTGGTGTGGTAAGTGACACTGCACTTGGACTCGATTCTGGATTAGTGCCTCAGTTCTGAGATCACTGCCTTAAACTCTTTCAATCTCCACTAGGCAACAGTGCTGTGTGACATTTTTGTTCTGTATTGCATGAAGAAGAAATACTACTATCGTGAGAAGAAATACAAATATGTGGAGGATTATGAATTGGTAAGCATCAACAAAGGCAGGGTAAAGACAAACTTGCTTCCTCCTCTGACTCCACAGAGATTCTGAAACAGGATGTAGAAAGTCACATCAAATGGGATTTTGAATCATAGTTCTAAGGAAACTTTGTCAGAGAAGCTAATTTTTACCTCAAAGCTGTTGCAGGGAAGAGCACTAGAAACAAATATTGTCATGTTTCCTGGGCAACCACTCTAGGAGGGGAAAATATATGTTCAAGAACTTGTCATGCTCCTACTGCACCTCCTTTTTGGGTTGCAGTCATTGGCATTTGCCTTCTAAGAGCTGAACAGCCCTGTTCCCATCAAATCCTTCTTGGCTTTTGGGGTTCCTGCAGCTGTGAAAAAACCCTTTCAATGGGTTGGTATTTTCTGAGACCAGTGTGCTGACAGCCAGTTACAGCTCCCCCCAAGGTCCAAATGATCTGTTTGGTCAGTAGGATTTAGTTGGTTGCTTGACTGGTGCTGAGGACAGAGCTCAGCCCTACAGCCCTGTGCTTGGTGCAAAGTGTGGCTGCAGGGGGCAGATTTCTCAATCAAAACACCTTGTACCACTGGAAAAGAAAAGTCTGAGCAACAGGAAGTAGCTTGCCTGTGCAAAGGATTTTATGTGATTGGAAGGGGGAGAAGGAAGAGTTTCTGGCAGAGAACTGTAATCTCTGATCCTTGCAGGAAGCTGGTGAGACATGAAACAAACTCCTGAGCTCCTGGTGCTGCAGGACCAACTGCTGCTCTGAACTGCTGCTGGAAACATTTCTTGACCGTGCCATGAGACCACCCCCTCTTTGCTGGAAGAAAATGGGAAACCAAACTGAGAAAGGGACCATCTTCACTACTCTTTAATACTTGGGAGCCAGTCCCAGGGAGAACTGGGTCTGCTCCTTGTCTGCTGTCTTTCCAGGTTATTTGCACTAAGCACAGAGGGAAAATTGTGCTTTATGTCAGACCTCTGCAGTGGCTGAGCCTGGGACAGGGACAGCTCTGGCATCATCATTTTGCCAGTCCTCCTGTCCCTGAGCTCACTGATAGCAGAGGGCACAGACAATAGGCACAGATTCTTCCTTAGAGTGAACATGGCCACTGCCAGGAGGTCCCTAACCTTGGGACAGCAGCTCCTTGCTGTTGTCATTTTTCTTTCCCTGAAGGATTGTGAAGATTAGCTGAGCCTGTACCTATTATTTAATTAGGTCTCCAAGCTCCAGGGGCCAGAGACCAAAATAAAGCAGTCTTACTCCATTGTTCTATGATAAATGGCTTACTGGTTACAGAATTTTTTTTCTGTTTTGTCTAATTTTTATGCTATTACTTTAAAATTTACTTTAATACAACACCTTCCCTCAACCCTCTTGAAGTTCTGCAAGCTGGGTTTTGATTGTTCATTTCTCCCCCCATACCAAGTGTTAGTGGAGGGCTATCAAAGCCAGGGCTCTGTGGCCTTTGCCTCTTGATTCTCTCTGCAGAAGCGCTGCTGCAACTACAGCTGCTCTGACTTGGTTCTCCTGACACCTTGTCCGTGTCTGTTGCCTTAAACCCTCTCCAAGGGAAAAGACTTGTAAGTCAGAGGCCAAGATCTTAGGGTCTTTTTATGAGTGCTGGTACCAACTGCTTGGAAGAATAGACCTGTTATTCCCTAGCACATCCTCCATGCTCTTCACCCCCACACCAACCCTGTATCTGGGCTGCTGCATTTAATGAGTTTACACAATTTCATTGAAGTGGAGTTATTGGCTTTTATATTCACATGGCCTTGAGCACTTCTAGTGATCACATTGACCCACAAAGTCCAGGTCTTCCCTTTCTCTGAACCTTTTCCAGTGTTCCAGAGCCCTGGGATCTATTCCATACCTCCAGCATCCTGACTGCTGCTCCAGCAGCACAGTGGGTAAACCACAGCATTATCATTTTGGTTTATTCTTTATGTGCTGCTGCTGTTGAGCACTATAGCTGTCCCAGCTCTAAGAGTGCCCTTCCAAGAGCCAGCACTCCAGTCTGTGCATGTGAATGCTCAGTTTGGATTATACAGTGGCTCGAGATGTCATGGTCTCATCCTAGCCCAAGACCCCCAGTAATGGTAGAGCCCCAGACTTCACTAACACAGGAGAATGCATTCATATTCCTCTTCCAACAACCAAACTCTCACAGCTTGATAAAGACCACTCAAACAGAATAATGGTTCCACTTGATCAACTAACTCTGGTTTGGTTGCATGTCATTTATTTCAACTTGTACAGTGAAGCTTGAACACCTGTGTGGAAAAACACTTAGTTGTTGGTTTATTCTTTCTTCTTAGGTAATATAATTTAAAAGTGGTAAATACACAGTATTTAAACTTGATACACCTGATAAAGTTAAATGCATAATAAAGGGATAGGAGTGAAACACAAGCCTTGGTCATTAAACAAATAGTATAAAAATCAGGAATAGTTCAGGACATTAGAAAAGAAACAGATCAATTGCCTGATAGGTAAGAGGGGACCACCATGGAAAACTACTCAGATAAGAGGCCTGGTTTCCCCTTAGCACTTTCCTGTGTGCTTTCAGAGCCAAAAAGGCTTAGTACCCAGCAATAAGCCCACAGCCAGCACCGGGCTTGCTTGGAAGGAAGGGAGTTGGGGAAATCAAGCTATCGCCCAGTTCCAAGGCACAAGCAAAATGTTCACTTCACTATAAGGAGAAAGCCAGCATCACTACTAAGGAACAGCAGCTGGGGAACTGAGCAGGTTTATATACACAGCACAGCTTCTCTAACAGGTCATGCAATTAGAGAGATCTCCCTCACATGGCCACGCTTTATGCTTTCAACAGTTGACCAACCAGAAAAATCCACATTGCATTTCTTTCCAAAATGTGCATTTGGCTGCAGCCCCACCAGAGCCTGCACCGAGGGACACTCGGTTTGGAGAGTACCTTGGGGAAGTGCTGAGTTTAGCATCCTTTAGAACCAAGCCCATGCAGGCAGTCAGACACTGATCAGTGGGAGTATCTGAGGCCCAGACACTGGCTGGGCATTAGGGAGATGGTGCAGCTGTTGAGAAGCTGCATTACACCTGGCAGACCTGTTTGGTCAATGTAAACTGTCTCACCTGACAAATCACAACCAGGGATGGGCAGCACAGAGATCTCTACAACACACCTCTAGCAAACACACCACACACATTACTATGCACTACCTACAAAGAATCAGATCCCCTAGCTTTTTACTTTTTTTTTTTTTTGGCAGTTCAAGTCCATTTGCAGGGTTAGAGAACCAGGCTGCCCACTCACACACATTTCTACAATGAAAAGTCCTGTGTAGCAAAGGGGGAGCAGGCAGCTGTAGTAGTGCTGGCCCCCAAGTTACCTGTTTGGTTTTCCCATAGCTGAAGCTGCAGGGCTTTGGCATAGCCTCGGACTAAAATGGGAGGAAAAACAGTGCATGTCTTATGGCTCCAAACTCCATAGTATTGCTCCTAAACCACCAATTGTCCTCACTGGCTTTGGAGAGAGGCCAGCAGCACAATGCTTCCATAATAAATTTAGGGGGAACATCGCTTCAAGTGATCAAAAGGTGTAAGGGACAGTTTGGGTAGGCATCTGCACCCTTGCTAATGCTGTCCTGGCTTTAACAAAAATCAGTCTTAACCAGGAATTACCAGGCCAGGTCTGACTGCAGCAGGGCCAAGGACATTGGCACACTGCTGCTTGTGCTGTCCAGGATAAAATACAGGAAGACAAGGGAATGGTCACTTTCTAAAGGCAGGGCATCCATGGCCAGGGTTAACAGGCAGAGATCTTGCCATTAATCAAGAAAGACACTTGGCAGTCTCCTAGTGCCTTCTTCCCGAGGCCAAAGAATTAGACCTTATCAGTCCCTCACAAGCTTGGGAGACTCAAATCTGTCTTCTCTGTCAGGTACATCAAATGCCTTGTTCAAGGTCACACAACCGTATCAGACTGAGAAAGGAAAAAAATCAGACCTTTTCCCCGTAGTCCCACACTCCACAGAACAGCTGTACTTACCGTGACCCCTTTCCTCAGGCAAACCCTGGCTCCTCATTCTCCAGCTTTGTCCGAGCCCAGAGAACTTGGGAAAGTGAGTCTGGACACCAGAGTCTCTCCCACCACATGACAGATTGTTATTTTTTACAAGCACCACAAATAATCAGAGTAATCTGACTGAAGGTGAAAGAGCTCTTGGTAAGAAACAATCCATGAACTAGATATACACTTAGTTTACTAACAAGCCTCTGATCCACAGGCATTCACGAATTACTGGTAACAAACTTGCAAAAAATACATAGCATTGGCCCCAGAATCCAGATTAAGAGTTTGGAAAACAAACGTTTCTTTGAAAATTACTAGCTAATCATTAAGATCTTAAATTCTAAGCAAGCCCTAAGTCTATACTTTAAAAACAGCATAAGTTGTATTATTTTTAATTGTAGTAAACCATGTAATGTACATGGAAGTGAAGGATTTTACCCTGAATTTTATATTTTATAGTATATCTACCTAGATCAAGTAAAAGATTTAGAAATAAACTGTTAGTGCTTCTTTTGTAGTTTAAAACATTCTAAACACCACCTTTCACTCATATGTCTGCAGCAAAAATAGTTCAAACTGAACTTAAGCCCTTAAATACCTTTTCCTTTCATACACTGAATACCTAACTTACCAAGTCCCGGTCACACCAAGGCCACTGGAAAGGTGTTAATTACCCGAGGAGGTAATTAACCTCACTTTCTGAACATCCTGAAGATGCTGTTTCATACAACTTGGCTCACAAAGGTAGGCATTCTTTAAAAAGCTGAAAAGGTGGGTTTTTGCTTTGTTCCCATGCAGTTAAAAAGGTGTCAATTAAAAACAAACCAGAACGACAAGAAATAGATGCAACAACATTCCTGGTAGGTCGTGAACTCTCAAAGTGCACGCGTGTGGTTGGTTTTACTGCTGTGTATCCCACTTGGCAAAAGCTTCACCCTTCTGCACGTGCCCACAGCCACACGATGGGCATCGTGCCCCTGGGACGCTGGCGTCAGTCCCTGCAAATTATTTGGCATTAAAACCAGCTAAAAGCAGTTCCAAACACATTTTCCTTTGGCTGCTGTGGGTTCTGTTTTGCAAAGCCCTGTTGCTGCTCACCACCACCGCTCACCTCTCCACTGCCCGCCAGCGCCTCTCCCACCAGAAGTCAGCAGTCCAAGGGGTCGGAGATGTTCCGTGTTTATGGCAAATAATCAGATGTCTGATAACGTGTGAGAACATGCTGCTATGTGAGCTCTACATCCAGCATTGTACTGAGATAGCGCCATGTCATGCTGTGTTTGCTCTGGGCTCTGGTCACCTCGTCCCCAGTGCACGCTTGGTCACATGCCCTGGGTTGAGCTGCTCAACAGAACCGTAAAGTCCACGTTCAAGAAAGAAGTTCCTCTTCTCCCACGTTGGGCAAGTCGTTGCATTTCAGGTTATCTTCACTGCCTTGTTTCCTGTTTTCAAAGGAAATAAAACAGCTGCTGAGTGACTCAAAAAGGCAAAACAGGCCATGAGACACCAGTTTCTGACCCTTCCCTGCCTTGGGATCTTTGGGATGCTGAGCGTGTGTCATCTGTCCCCAGGTAACAGGCTGGAAGTGCCATAAAAAGATGTTTTTCATCCCCTCAGAACAGTAGGATATTCCATGTCACAAAAATCCCATAAAGCAGTTACAGATCAGGCAGATGGGGTGTGAATGTCAGTCATGGCCCCCATGAAAGTTTCAAAGCCCAACTATTTAATTTCTCCTCCAGAGCATGAGAAAAAGCTGCAAATGTCTCTTGGGGCCAAGGACACTTACGGCAGCAGGTTCCCAGATGAAGACAATGAGCGCTCCTCCCTCTTGCTCCCCTCAAATGGATTCCCAAAGGATCGCTTCCGGATCATTGTTTTAACCAAGATCTGCAAAACCAGAATGCAGTTCATTCATTCAGGGGTGCTTTTCCTTCATTCAAGAGCAAGAGGAACATTCAACTTGCATGCCCAAGTAATTAAAAGAACTAGTGAAAACAAGTCAAAGTTCTCTATTAATAAAAATCAGAAGGAAGCATCTTTGCAAGTCTCCAGCTGCTTAATACAGGGGCTGTATCCTCATCTGAAACCCTAGCAGGTGAGAACCACTAGGTATAAGAGGCTGGAAAGGAGAGCAAAGCCAAATCCGGGAGGTTTCTTTCCTCCCCAGAAGCACATTTTACTGATTACTGCATGCAGTACCTGCAAATTCCCAGTCCTCCATGATTACCTGGCAAAATAATTCACTGGAAAGGGAGAAGGGAAGGAACTGGCACAATTTTACCTGAATGTTCATCTGAAACCAAACTGAAAAGTTGGCCATTTGTCCAGTTTTGGCTGCAAAATACAAAGTTACCAATCAGAGACTGGTGGAAACAGAGAAGTGTCAGGCTTCTTCCCTGGTATACCCCAGCTTGCTTTGCTGGTGGGAGCAGTCAAGAAGGTGAGCAGCACTGGACCCTGCCTCAGTAGGGGCATTGCTGAGAGCCCCTGCCTTCATTTGATGTTGCTTCTCATCCCTCTGTGCTTCATTTATCTGCTCAGCAGGGCGCAGAGAGCCCTTCTGTGTCTGAAGGCGAGGGTGTTTTAAGAGTCAAAGCCACGTGAGTGAATCTCATACTGGAGTGTCAACGCCTGCACTTGGCTGCACAAAGATCAGGCACCAGAGGGTGATTTTGAAGATCAGATGCAAATGTGAAAATACCACATCTGCCTGGAGGCAGTGTGTTATTTAAGAGTCAAAGAGGTGCAATAAAATCTGATTTGCCTTGAGCTGTGCTGAACACACCTGGCTGGATTTCAACAGGGCTGGGAGGACTGAGCCTACTGATCAAGTCCCTTCTGAACAGGAGGAAGGGGGTAAACCCCTCATCAATGGTGATTTCTTTAGAGCAACGTCTGCTTTTTCAGCCTGGGCAGCAAAAGGCATATTTGAATATTCACATATCTGCAGTCAGATTTCTGCAGGGTACCCAAAAGGGAGAAAGCTCTAGAAATGAGGCTGGATGTGGGCACTGCTATGAGATGGAAAAGGGGCTTCAAAGGGAAACCTGTTCTTCAAAAAAAACACAGTCTGGGTGCTTACAGGCAGATAACACCATGCCAGGGAACTGTGAATGGTCACTCGCCGTCACCCAAAGAAATCATTAGATTCGAAACCTAAAAAAGATTTCACTTTCCACACAGGACAGGGTTACAATGTGGTTCTCACCAGCACAGTGGGTTGCAGAGAATAAAAATTGAGCTTGAAAAGAGATGAGATGAAGTCACCAAGAATAGCTCCAGGCGGAGGCTGATGCATGTCGTGGCCCAGATAAAATCTCCATCCTGGGAAGCTCCCACAGCCCCTACAGCTGGACAGGCAGAACAGGGCAGGAGCTCCTTGTGCCTGGCCAAAACACCTGCTCCTGGCCACAGGCAGGTTCTGGACCAGATGCTCTTTTGCCCTGAGCAAATACAGTGATATTTAGGCAGCCAGCTCAAGTGTGAAGACCAGCAATTCACTGACAATTACCTTTGGAACAGCTCTAAAATATTCCTCTGCACTGTTGGGGTATGGCCATGTCCAGAGAGCTGCTGAGACCCTGAGACACCCCAGTGTCTTGCAGCACTTGTTTCCAGGAGAGAGGTCTTTGCTCTAATCCCGCCCAATGCTTTGCCCTTCAGCAGCGAACTCCAGCTGCTCAGGGCCACCCCAGAAGGCAGCATGGACCCTGCTGTACATCCATAGACCATCAACTCCTTTGTACTCACCACGGTGGCCAGGCTGGGAATGTGCTTGACTGAATTCTCCACTTCCTCCTCTGTCACTTCGACGAGGGTGCAGTTCTCATCCTCCGTGGGCAGCAGCTCTGCTCCGTTCTTGGTGACCCAAGGGTGCAACTTCAATTAATAACACAGCCTGTCAGGAACGATTTCCTCTTTTTCATAACTCAAACAACACAAGCCTGGCAAACGCATCTCCTTGTCCAAGCTATGGCCCCTAAGTGCTCCTGAAACGCCAGGGAGCAGGGCAGGGGTGTGCCATGTCACTGGTGAGCCAGCTCACCCCAGCACTGCCAGGAACTGCACAGCCTGGAGCAGAAAAATGCTGTGGTGTGGCTCGTCCAGAGCCAGAGCTGGCCCCAGCTACACAACCAAGCCATAAACTTGGTGACCTACAGCACTGAGCATCTCTGGGCTTTAGGGAAGGAGACCTATCTTCACTCTCATCTTATGGATGAGACAGCACCGGGAGGCAGGAGAGATTTATTCCAGTCCACACATACGAGCAGCAGTGATGGAGAGACCCACCGAGCCCTCATCCTGGACCTGCTTTAATCCACAGCTGAAGGCAGAACCCCTGTTTCTCCTTGCCCACACTCCTGGTGACTTGGTCGGCTGCAGGGGGAGCACAAAACGGTTCCGCAATTCCCCCGCAATCCTTTCCCCCTACCTTGGTCTCCATTCTCTCAGCTTCTCGCCCCTTCCAGGCTCCCGCAGGGGCGAAGGACCAGAAATCTCCTGCGAAAGGCTGTTGCACAGTACTTTCCTGGTAGCAGAGGAAATACTGTACTCAGGGGATTTCCTTTTGCCTGCGACTTCTATAGGCACCAAAGGTCCCAAAGCTGAGCAGGTCCCAGAGCAGGGGAAGGAGCTGGGACTTACCTGCCCAGGGGCCCTGGGCACAAGGGGAGGACCTAGCCTGGCACGATCAAACTGACTCCCAAAAAAAGCCGAGCAAGGAGAACCCAACAGAAGTGAAGCCACAGCCAGCACCAGGAAGCTGGGTCAGTACCTTGATTTCTGGGACCGAAATCCGAGATTCAGGATTTTTATCCAGCATTCGTGTAATCAAATCCTTCAAGAAGTCTGTAACTTCTGGCCTGTGGAAGGAAGAAGGGAGAGATGAGATGGGGAAAGGGATGGATATTCTGTTCTTCACCTCAGTGCTAGGTACTATGGGCCTTCTGGGCAGAGGGGCTGGACTCAAGCCCCAACAAGGAGACAGCTCTGGGTTCTTGTACACCCCCTTCTCTTCAAACCCCCAGAAAAAGCAAAATATTCCCTTTTGAGGCAATGTGAAGTGTGATTCCACATGTACAGGGCAGGGAGAGGCCAACTCAAAGCCTGAGTTCTGCAAAACCACGGCAGAGCCGAGCCAGACCTACCCAGGGAGTGCTTGAGAAACAAATGAGCTGTAAAATAAGGATTGATGGGTTGTTTTTGTTTTTGAGTACTTACTGGTCTGGGAACTCCAACGTTTGGGTCTTGATTTTATTGTGTAAACTCAAGATCCTTTCATCCATAAAAGGGCACTACCATGAAGAAAAAGAGCAATGAGGAAAGCAACAACCTCTGTTAAGGGGCAGCAGTGGGGCAGCCAGAGGAGCATCAGGATCTCACAGTGTTTTAAGGAGAGCAAAGATCCAGTTACAGGGAAATTCCAGAAGATTTACAATTATATCAGTGTCTACTTTTAAACACAATGAAAAAAACCATTTAACCAAAAATTACCAATTACTATAAGAGCTACTTTCCTAAAAAATCTGCCCAGGCACAAGTTTTTTTCCACTGGGGAAGAAAAGAAACGCAACCCTTTTGGCTCCACCCACCCTAGGAACAGGCAAAGGTTTCCCATTTCCATCCATACATCCTCATCTCCACTCAGCTTGAACAGGGACACAAGGTGCCAGTCCCACTGATTATCTGGAACATGGGAGGCATAAAACAGCCCCCCAAAACACCAACAGCACTGAAAAATCCATCTCATTACCTGCCCAAACACGAAGCAGTACAGTGTGATCCCCATGGCCCAGACATCCAAAGCCTGCAGAGTGAAGAAAGCATAGTTAAATTTACAACAAGATTTCTGTATGTGCAAGGTTAGTCCAAGACCCTTCAAATTGCTATTAAATACCTTTCCAGAGAAGATTTTCCTGGTTTCTGAGAGGGTCTCTGGGGCCATGAAGGCAGGAGTGCCCACTGTGTTGGTTAACAGGGCATCAGCTCCCTTGAACTCGTTGCTCACTCCAAAGTCGGCGATCTTGACGTGCCCATCTTCCCCCACGAGGAGGTTGGAAGGTTTAATATCCCGATGGATTATCTTCTGGTAGTGCACTGCAGCCAGAGGGACAATGAGTGGTGCAGCAGCAGCAGCAGCACTGGTTTGCAGCAAAGGAGCCATGAGGGCTCCGTGTGGCTCTTTCTGCTAAGACCACAACCCAGCTTTAAAAGCCCCTGTACAGCATGAGCCACCAGAGACAGCACTGCACACCAGCAGAAAGGCCAGCTCCAGGTGTTCAGAAAAAAAACCCCAAAAATAAGAAACCCCAGCTCTTTGCAGAGACACTTACAGTATTCAATGCCCTTGATCAGATCCTGGAAGTAGAACCGAGCCTGGTCCTCACTGAGAGGTTTCAAGGTTGGGATTTCCATCACAGGGCTGCAAAGGCAACAGAGAATGGAGTTCATTTCCCACCTGGATGTTCTGAAACAGGGCCCGAAGGCTTTGTCACTGGCTGGTGACAGCACAAATCCCAAACACAGGCACACAGTACACAGGGTATACTCGGCTGTAACCAGGCCAGGGAAATGCTACTCAAACCTCAAGCCCCAAACATGAAACCTCAACCCTCCAATCTCTGCACCCCATTTCCATCTTGGGTGGCCAAGCTCTGCCACCCACAAACCCATCTCATGTTCAAGTGTTAGTAGGATTATATCTGGAATTTAGTACTCACCCCTGCTTCACCAGTTCAAACACTGCAACACAAAAGAGAAGGTGATTAGAGATCGCTTTCAGGGTATGGCTCCTGCGAGCACAGCCTCAGCACAAAAGCAATTATTTTAATGACAAAAATTCTAAAAATAATATGTTATTTTTGAAAAGGAGATGCTGTCTTATGCAAGGCACGTGGCATTTGGGTTGCTCCCATTTTCAGTTAAGGGGATGCTGCCAACTATCTTCTCAGTGCTGCAGCTTCAGCATCGTGAAGTGCCCTCCATGGCACACAAAAATTCTCAGTTTGCTACCAAAAAGGCTGAGCCCACACCCTGGGCAAACCTCAGCACTTGGTCATGAAGGCATCACATACTCCTCCACTAGTACATAACTGATGGAAAAAAATATGTTTTCTTCAAAAGTTGTATATTACTTGAAGCAACAACTGCAGCCTGCCAGGCAGGTTGGGATGTGGCTCATTTGTACCTTGCCTTTTTCCCAAAGCCAGAGAAATAAAAGTGCTTTCTATCATTCCAGCTTCAAAGCGGAGAGCATCAGCATTGGTGCCTCCCATGGCAAAGTATGCCCTGGTGTCGAATTAACTCCAATAAAGTGCTGTAAAGCACTCTTGTCTCTGTTCATAACCCAGACTGCATCTCATTTGCTCCTCCAGCACATCCAGGCTATACCCATATTGAAGGAGAGACCCAGCCCTGCATACAGAGCTGCTACAAAACACAGCAGGAACCTTTTCCCCATCCCTCTGACACCCCGGGGCAGTGGGCAGTTACCCATGTACAGGTGATCCTCACTGGGGTCATCCAGGACCTGCCAAAAGAAGCAAAAAGGCAATTAAACAGTGCCAAGAAAACTTTGCAAATTAGGCATTTTGATATTTTATTTAGCAGCCATCGCAGTTCTGCACCATCTGCACCATCAGCACGGTCTGCTCATCTCATTCCCCACAAGAGTAGGGAAAAAAAGAGGACAGAGATGTAGCTGTACTTCAAGGAAGCAAATATTTAAAACACACAGGAAGCATCATCTGACTCATGAGCCAAATAAACTCCAGCCTGCACATCCTTAATTCTTGATTTTTGGACTGTTCCATACAGGCAGTGGGTGGAGGGCAAGGCAGCTGCACTGTTGAACTCACAGAAACACCAGTTCTTCCCCAAAACCTGTCTCAGCACTTGTTTCCTCCCCAGAACAAACATTTTTCTGCATTTCCTTTTCTGAGCAGGGAAGAAAAGATCTTTTGGGAGGTGAGAATAAAAAACCCTCTAAACCAAGGAAAACACAATTCTCCCAAAGGCAGGACCTGCCCTTGCCCCTTCCTGGCGTCACTCCCCTTCACCCAGCCCATCCCTGCAGTATTCAGGCTCCATCACACTCAAGGATGAGTTTTGGAAAGAGGCCAGCGCTTACCTCCACCAGCTTCACCACGTTGGGATGGTCCAGCTTCTTCAGGATGGCAATCTCCTGGTAGACCTGTTCGATGGGCCCTCTGGGCTGCAGGCAGCCCTCGGAAGCAGCTTTGGCCCCGCGGGGCGGCGGGCGGCCTGTAAAGATGTGTCCAGTTGGGAACAATCCCCCAGGATCCCCAAAATATCCCCCACCCCAAAAAGCTTTCTGCCACTTACGTGGGAAGCCCGCCTGTCTCATCAGCTTCTTTTTTGAGAGAACTTTCATTGCCTGCAAGAAGAGAACAAATGTGGAAATTGGGGCAAGTCAGGGATAAAATGTGGCTGGTGGGATGGGGCAGGGAGTCAGCAGAGGGGATCCATCCCCCTCCCACCTGCCCTGCTGCAGACTCTGGGGCCATGTGTTACTCACATAGTAGGTGTTATCATCTTCATTGTAGGCCAGCTTCACCACCCCATAGGAGCCCTGGAGAGGGGCAGAGCCATGAGGCACAAGTTAGGGACAATCCAGAAAACCCACATCACCAAACCACGCTCTGGGCTCCTCCACAAACCCACCCCACAGGGATCACAGAGCTGGTGGGCGATGCTGGGACGAGCAGGGGGGTGTACAGTCTGACATCACACTGACAGCAAAGAAAAGCTTCAAATGCCCCATTGTGTGGGTGGGAGGGGGAAGGGGGAAAATTAGTAATAATTTTAAAAATATACAATTCAATTGGCACCACTCAGAACAGAACAGCGAGCAACAAAGAGCTGCCGTGGTGAGTGGCTGGACTTGCTCCCATTCTGGAGCATTCCCATAGAAGTGAAAGCAAGCCCGGCATCCTCCCAACCCAAAATCCCTCATCCCACCCCAAACCAAATATTCACCTTCCCAATCTCATCCTTCAGTTTGTACTGGTTGAGCTGCACACAGTCCTGCAGGGAAAGAGCAGGGAAGTTTGGCATGAGCCACAAAACTGCTCACATTTGCTCTTTTCCTTTTAAATCTCCAGCAAAACTTTCTCTGCAAACTCACACCCCATCCTGCCCTGCCCAAGCACCCGCGTGGGGCTGGGTAGCTTTGATTCATGAGCCACAAAAGCCACCCACCAAGGCACACGTTGGTGTGTTTATAGATGGCTAATTGCAAATGTTAACTGGGCAGGCAATCCTGTCCTGTCCACTCATGTGAAACGAGAGCGATGGACAGCAAGAGCCTTGAGGGGTTTAATGCTGGCAACCTGGCGCCGAGTAATTTTATTTATTTTGGGCAAAGCAGCCACTTGCTGCCTGTTTTCTCTCAGGCTGGGGGCAAGCAGGCCTGTTTTCTCTTTAGATCTTAGTGAACTTCTCTGTTTTTTATTTTAGAGGGGTGAAGAAAGAAAGTTGCGCTGCACTCCTGGCTTCCATCAAACACAGCCGTGAGAAGGGGTGGCATCAGCAAAAGGCAAGAAAACCGGTGAGTTGGGGTCTCACCTCCCTGTTCCTGTGGCCCAGGATGTCCCACTACCCCCCACCACACACCTGCAGACAAGCCATGGGGGTTTATCCCCAAAAAAAAGCGAGAAGAAATGCCAAGGTGGGAAAATCCAGGCAGACGGGGGCAGGAGAACCACAGGAGCAGCGTTCATCCCCCTCACCTGCAACGTTCATCCCTTTCACCTGTAACGTTCATCCCCGTCACCTGTAACGTTCATCACCCTCATCTGTAACACTTAAGCCTCTCACCTGCAATGTTCATCCCACTCACCTGCAATCCTGTGATGGACACTCGGTTGGACTCCACTGTCGGGCGCCGTGGCAGCCGTGGGGAGGAGTGCGGGGACGTCACTGGGGAGTACGGGAGGGAGGGGTAGATGAAGCGTTGGTTGGTGTCCCCGTGCCCGGGCGAGCGGGCAGGCTGTGGCCGCTCCTGCAGGGACAGCTTGCGGCCGGAGAGGTGCAGCTTGCGGCCATCCCCAAAGCCCTCAGTGCCGGGCACGTCCATCTCCTCCTCGCTCGTGCTCCCCGTGCCGTCGTGCTCGGTCACCACGATGAGCGAGGCCATGCTGCTGTGGCCGGGGCTCAGCGCCGGGGGGTCGCGCAGCACCGCGGGGGCTCGGCGGCCGCGGCCTCCGGCGCAGCAGAGGGGCTGTGGGGCGGGCGAGCTGCTGGGGACACGTGGTGGTGTGGAGGGACCGATGGCCTCATCCTGGCCATGCTGTGGCGGGGAGATGTGCCTGCAAACACAGGGTGGGTCAGCCAGGCTCTATGGAAAGCGGGATTTCCTGCTGGTCATTATGCTACAGATTGATTTATTCATTCCATAGGGAACTGTGAAGCCAAGGGCAGCAGTGCAGGATGGCACCAGGATGCACAATCACCCTGCCATGGGACAGACCCCAGGCCAGAGCCAGTCTCACCCCCAGGGGTGCCACCACTGCTCCTTCCACCCTTTTTATTTAAACACCTCCAGAGAGTAACAACTCCATCATCTCCACTATGGAAATACTCCAAAGGGGTTGTTTTAAAGGGGCAGGATAAAGAATTGCACTATACCAGCATACATACTACTGAGTTCCCTACTTTACTGCTCCAAGTGGGCACATCTCTGCCCAGCCTCCCCAAACAAGGCAGTTCAAGGGCACAGGGACCCACTTACCAAGTGCAGGGTGCAGGACCAGCCCCCTGGCTCACTGCTTCCTCCCACAGCCCATCATTGCCAGTGATTCCTGTTCTTCGCCTTGTGGCCTTCTGTGCAAAACTCAGGTCCCCAAACCTTGAGATAAATGAGAAAACTGTTAGCAACTAAACTTTTTTTTAAAATAATCAAATAATTAAGTGATAATTAAAAAAGAGGAGAAAATTATGTTAATTCACACATCCCAGGCACCCCACAACACCTGGAGCTGTTCCACGGTTGACTGGCTGTAAACCATGGCTCTTTCCTGCCCAACACTGGTGCTGTTTTTAATTTCTAGGTTAACAAGTTGCCACAGAAGGAAGCGAAAAAAATATCCTGAAACAACCAGCCCAGAAGCAGGAACAGAGTTTGAGGCGTTTTTCTGCCTGGCTCCCACACCTCGACGAGGCGGCCAGTTAAAATTAGCTCCACTCATCTCCATTGAAGTTTCCGTGCTGCACCCGCAGCACAACCACTCTGAATCAGCCCAGCAGAGATTATGGGTCAAGTACAGAAATCAAATCGTCTCCCCCGTCCTCGAGGCTTCACAATGCCCTAATTGCTGTTTTCAACACTGATCTATAAACCAGAGCTTTTGTGCCCAAGTGGGATCGGCCTGGAGCTGAAGCCAACGCGGCACCGCTCACTGCTCCGAGGCACGGAGGAGCACAGGGATGGGGAGGCTATAAATAAGCCAACGACCAGCAACAAGGACAAACTATTCCAGAAACGCTGAGTTTCGTGGGGCCGAATCCGCTCCTGGATGGGGCTTTGCTAAATGATAGAGCCAGGAGCCACCAGCCAAGTCAAATTCCCTGTGCAGTGCTGCTGGCAGCCCACGGCAGCGTGTTTTAATGCAGTCCCAAATGGATTAAAACAAACAGGCAGGGCCCCCCCCCATTCATCTTGAATTCACAGGGATGTATCTCGAGGCCATTTGCCTGGCCTGCTTTGGGCACCCCTCCAGTGGGCACATATAAATAGCTGCCCTGAAGCCGGAGCTGATCCGGAATGCTGTGCCCTCTACCCTCACCGTGCTCTGCGGCCACACCAAAAAAGGCAGCTCATCGGGGCAGCCTTGGGATGAAACCACCCCAGGAACATTGCTGGTAGCAACACCCATCCCCAGCAGTGCCACAGCATGGCTGGGCATCCCATGCTGCCCCCACAGCATCGTCTGCATCCCGATTTCCAAGGATTCCCGATAAACTGTGCCAGGCTTGAGCAAAAATGAGTTATGAAGTCTCAGTCACACTTGAGAGCTGAGTATGTCCTGGCCGGCGGGAGTTAATTGGCTTGACCAGGATAAACATATCAAGTCTGATTAATTCAAGCAGGCTTCCCCAGGCTCTGTAAACTAAAAGTCATCCAAACCCCATCGTAACATTGGCTGCAGTGGGAAATCAGAGGGGTTTTCCCTCCGCATGTGTGCAAAGGGTCAGAGGATAGGGGTTTTAAGAAACTGCCCTCTGAGATGATACTTCCCAGGAGAGAAACCCAAAAGCGGGATCACACTGTTGAACACAGCCCTGTTATCCTTAATAAGCATATGAGGAGGAGGAGAAGAACTGCTGAATTCCCAGCCAGAGAAAAGAGTAAAGTAGCTGGGGCAGTAATCCCAAAGAGAGAAAATACAGCCTGGGGGCTTTGGCTTCACAAACCCATCCAGGCCCTTGCCTGGGGAAAAGCAGCACATTCTGGTATGAACTCCAGCAGATCCTTATGTAAAAGGGAGCAGCACATGCCCACAAAATCCTCAGGAAATATAACAGCCTGGTGTATAGGAATGATTTATCGGCACAGCTTTTGGCTGCAATCCATATATAACCCATAGCGGCTGCAGCAGGATTATCGAAGCAATCAGTCTCGCATCTAATTCAGCAAGGAGAGGGATATTAAAATGAAAAGAGGTCTGTGAAACCCTGGCAGCAGCTCTCCCTCTCGCTCAGCATCCACGTGGCTTGAGCGGAAGCGAATGGGAGTGAAATCAGCCCCCGCGAGGGTGAGGGATTTTCACAGCCCCCCTTGGGCCACCCCAGCTCTGCTGAGAGCGCGTGGGCCCTGCCTGGGCCCTGCTGGATGTGCTGGGAGGGGAACATGCTGACCAGTTCTGGTGAGTGCAGAGGGTGACACCTTGCAGCCAGCACTGGCTGCAGGGATTTAAATCAGAGCATATGGATGCATCTGCCTGCCCTTCCCTCCCCGGAGCTGTTTCTCTACCCAGATGCAGGGGCCGCACCCTCGCCTTTCCCACACCTGTATCTCCGTAGCAAAGCCAGGCACAGTGTCAGGATCAGACTCTCCCAAGGGAGCAAGACTTGGTGACAGCTCGGCGGTGATCCCTCCATCCATGCTTCCATGGGGGTCAGCTCACAAAGCACAACTTCAGCTTTTTATAACAAAACTGAACTCAAAACATCAAAACCAGGACTGATTTTACTTGCAGAGATTCTCCCTTGCTACTGCCCAAAGTTGGTTAAAAGCCAAGCACGGCTAGCCTGGGGCAGTTATTGGTCTCCCTGGGCAGAGTTCAGTGGCTATTTTGCTTTCCCCGGTCATGGTCAGCGGTGGAAGTGCCCGTGCCAAGAGTGGTGTCATCTGCAGCAACAGGGGCATCAATCACAGTTTCCCTTCCTACGGGTGAGCACAGACCTTGCCAGAAATATATTAGTCACTGTAGTATACAAAGACCATATGCATCTTGCACCTGACTTTTAATGGGGAAAAAAGTCTCTCAGCACCTTCTCTAGAAGTCAGAGGACACCCAATTGTATGAGATACTGGAAACAGGTGCCTGTGCCCATCTTGGGTCCCTGTGCCCAAGCAGCAAAGCTTTTCATCATCCTCAGGGTGAATGGAAGAGCCTTCTGCACTGCCTGGCCCAGCCAACACAGGGTGGAAAGAATTGGAGAAAAAACCACAAATTCAGGCTGGTAGCATTGTAGTGTCACAACATCCAGGAGCAGGAGTAGGAGTCACAAAAACGTCTTTATCGAAGTTTTTTTTATAATTTGAGGATACTGCCTAACACTGCTGAAGCAATATATAATGAGCATCCCAAAAGAACGTAAGCCCCAGAGATGGTGTTGAGCATGGGCCAGGATATGCTCAGGGCACCTCCATCACCTTGTCCAGCATTGCCAAGCAACTCCCAGCTTTTCTGGAAACATCAGCTACAGCCCATGATGCCCACAAGAGAGGAAACAAGAGCAGTTCTCCACCTTGTGAACACCACTTAAAAGACATTAGGGCAGAGTTGAAAGCAAAGGCTCCTCCAAATTACCTCCCTGGAACAGCACAGGTCCATCAGACACCCCTCACAGCACTCAGGTAAGGGCTTTTGGGGTTTGTTGGCTGCTTTTCCCAAGAGAAAGTGCTCATGGAGAGCTAGGAGAAGGACGGGGCTCCTTCTCCCACGGGAGAGGCTGTTTCTGTGGGTATGGGCCAGGAAGGCAGCTCTGGTGCCCACAGCCAGCACACATCCTCTCCCCCAGCGTGGTCCCACTGGCCCTGAGGACAACCTGGTCCTGTCCCCAGGGGTGGTTTCTGCCTCTGCAGCATTGCAGTCAGCCCACAGCTCCATCACACCAGCTTCCCGTGGTCATCTCACTTCGGCTCTTGGTCTTGATTGTTACCATCATGCTCCTGATGCTCTGTGCCGTGCACGTGGCTGCAGGGCTGCATCCCACCTCTTAACCACACTGTCACTCGCAGCAGCCCAACCTGTGGCTTCTAATGAGACCCGTCCTCTGTACACAGTCTCTCCACCAGCTCCATTCCCCGTCCCGCTTGCCCCTTGACCTTAAATCCCCCCCGCTTTCCCCAACCCCATGGCCTATCTTTCCCCGGCACCCCGATCCCGGCCCTCAACCCCCGGACAGGAGCTCCGTGGGGTCTATGGGACACGCGCTGTGGCCACCCGGTCCCATCGCCGCCGGTCCCGGGGTGCCGGTACCGCAGCACGTGTCGGGGCCGGCGGCAGCGGGATGTCCGCGGGGCCCGGGCGGGATGGGGAAATGACAGCAGCGAGCCCGCACCGCGGGGGTGTCCGCACAGGCCGCCCGCGACAGAGCCCCGTCCGGAGGCGATGCCGTTCGCCAGCCCCAGCCCCGGCTCCATCCCCGCTCCATCCCCGGCTCGGCCGCCTCCGCCCGCCCGGTCCCTCCGGGCGCGGCTTTGTCTCCGCCACCGCGGGCGCATCCCCCGCCCGGGCCCGCCCGGCCTCCCCGCCCGCTCCCGCAGCACCGACCTGGCTGGGAACGACCCCGGGACCCCGCAGCCCCGACAGCCCCCGCCGCGCTGGGCCGGAGCGCGGCTGCCCGGCGCCGCCTTCGCTTTCGGTTCCTCTCCGGCCGCGGCACCGAGGGAAGGAGGGAGGGAAGGAGGGAGGGAGCGATGGA